TATTGGAAGGCCTCGAACCAACCACCTCCACAGCAAAGACCAGAGGGTTCGGCCACTTTGTGAGGCCGATGATGAGGCCTGAAAGCTTCGAACCCGCCACCTATCCCCCAAACCCCTGACGGCCAAAGTTTTGTCCTCCTCCACCATGGGCCCCCTCCCCTCCCCCCCCTTGATGCCTTTTTCCGTCCCGATGCATGACGGAAGTTCATTTTTGCGGAACCCTTTTTGATTTTATCGTTTCGGAGTGATCCGACCCCCACGGGACTCCGCGACGACAGTTCGACTCCGGGGAAAACCTCTGGCACGAAACGAGGGTCTCCCGTTCCGTCCGAGAGACTCAACCCTTACGGCCAAAAATCCTCGGCCACGCCCCTTCTAGAACTCTGATCGGCGACCCCGTACGGGAAGCCGCGAGGGCGCGAGGTTGGTATCAGAGCTGATTCGTTTCGGCTCCGAGGTTTTCCTATGACGATTACCCTGTTTTAAAGTTCTTCTTTTCCTTTTTTATCCTTTTATTAGATTTTTTGCATTTTTGAGTAGGCTGGCTCCCCGTCGACGGAGGCCCGCGAATAGCAATCAGAACCGAGCGAGAGGCCGGGCTCGAAACCCGCCTCCCGCGATGGTGGAAACCGGAATTGGGGGTGAAAACGACGGTGACAACCATGCGGGCATGGCCAATCATCCCCTGTACTTTGTACCTCCTCCTTTCGAAGTTCCCATTTTCTCCAAAGATGACACCGACCCTCGTACCTGGCTAGCGGCCTTGAAAGCCCAGGGCTGGTCGGATCAGTTGCTCCGAGAACGAATTCCCGGAAGGTTAGCCAGAACCGCTTTTGAGTGGTATGGACATAACCCCTTCACTAATTGGGCAGCCTTCCAGAGAAAATTTCTTGATAGATCTGATCACATCGCACCGGGTCAATGCCTCCATTTAATAAACGAATACACGCAGCAGCCTCGGGAGACCTTGGCCAGATATGCTGAATGTTTTACGTACTTAGTCGAACGGTCCGGGGTGGACGAGAAAATGGTACGGACTGATTTTGTTAGAGGACTGTCAGATTCTTGTCTGCGGAAAAAGATCCGCAAGAAACGCAACCCTATAGAACATACCCTGACGGAGCTAATTCAGTACGCAATTAAGTACGGGAAAGAAAATTACGATGTGGGCCTGGACTCAGAATCCGATGAAGATGACCCTTCGGGTGTTCGACGCAATAGCTACTCCGCTACGGCACGAATGTTCGAAGATCGCTTCGGGTTGGGTCCAGAAAAAAAAGGCGTGGATCAGAAAGCTTCTTCCTCTGCTTCGGCCCCCCGTCGCCCTAGTCAAGCACAAGGAGGCCGGGGTGAGGAAGAAGTGTCCATGAAAGAGGTCGCGGCACAATTAGTTCCGGTAGTGGCCCCGTTGACGGAGTTTGTTCAGGGCCTGCAGCGGCAACGCCTAGCTGCCGCACAACGGCAACAAGCGGCTATGGCCGCCGGAGCCCCAATGATAAGACCGGCCGTGGCCGGGGCTGTCTAGTCCCTATGCTGTTATAACTGCAATCAGCCAGGTCACCTTGCGAAAGATTGCCCGAAACCTCGAGCTCAGGGTGGGCCCGCTGGGCCTTCCCAAATCCCGCTGGCTGCTCCAACCGCTGCAGGACAGGGGAGGGTGGCCACGGTGATGGATATCGGGGCAACGGAAATGGTGACCCCTGCGGCCACCGAGATAGGGCCCAATGAATACATGGCTGCGACTTTGTTCGAACCCGGGACCATCGGAGTGATACGTCACGTCCAACGAATTACCGAGGAAAGCGACCTCGGGCCGTGGCAACCAGGGTTCGAAGACCTTGCGACGCCTGGCCCTGAATACAAGGATGGCCATATCGACGTATTGGATGCCTTGAAGGCTCTGGATCTTCGGATCGCCGTCCCTATTCCCTATCTGCTAACCATTTCCGAAGCGGCTAACGAAAAGTTGATCGAATGGTGCCTCAAAAACAGGCGCCGATTCGAGGAAAGTCGAAAGGGCAAAAAGCCGGTCCTACGGGACCTACCCACAAACGAGGAGTCGCAGCCCTCGACCTCAAAGGTGCACGAAGCCGACCGGATAGGAATCATCCAGGCCGTAGACTCTGCCTCGGAAAAACCCGAGGTATTCCTCCGAGCCTATCCTATAACCTGGAAAAGCGTTGAGTGTGACTGCGAGGTCTGGGGAAACCCCTCGGCCGCCATCCTAGACTCGGGATCGTCGGCGGTCGCCATTTCTTGGAGATTGACGAAATAGTTGGGAAGGGAAGGACAGGTTCAGCCCCTCCAACCGGATGAGCTGTATATATCCGCTACGGAAGACAGTATTCATTGTAAAGGGCGAATAACGAACGTGCCTATACGGGTGGGGCGGGTGCATTGTTTGTGCGACGTGATCGTGCTGGATGTACAGGCGTATGATGTTCTGCTAGGCATTCCATGGCAGGCAGCGGTTGGAGCGCGAATGCACTTTGACAGCTGTACGGTGGTGCTCACATCGGCCCACCCTAAGCCCCAAACGATACCAATGAGACTGGCGGTGCGTATGCACACCCAGCCGGCGCCTTGACTCACCACGAAAGCCCATCAAATCAACATGATCCGACGCCTATCACCAGGCGAAAATGAACCATCGACGGAAACTGACGAGGCTGATGCACTCGACCGATATCCGATCCGAGTTCAGGATCGGTGGCGCCAGTCTTGGCGGCGAGAACCACTGAAAATAGTTCGGAGCGAGTCCAACCGGTCGCACGCGTTCTCGTCCGTGGTGCAGGGGGAACCCCTGCTGAGGGTGTCCCGAATAGCAGGCCTTTCGGAACCCCCTGCGTCCTTATATCTCAAGACGGATCCCCTACCTGAACGATTTACCGAGCTGAGGGGGCTGTGCGATTTATCTTTTCGACCTCCACAGCCCCTGCTCACGAATGAGAAAGCCGCGATACTTTTGAAAGAAGGGGTGTCGTTTCAACCCCGAACAAGGGAATATCGGTGGGGACCGAGGGAACTGGCGCAGGCCTTTTCGGTAGAACCCTCAGCCGAACCCGAACGGGATAGTGATAGTGACATGGAAAGCGAGTCGATGAGCCCGGCGGACAATCAACTAATTGCGACTGTCCTTTCGGCGAAAACCGACAACTCTTTGTTTGGGGCCTCGCCCGATGCCAACGTGGCGGTCCCCACGGTTACGACGATGGTCTCCCTTCCTGGGGGAACCGTAGAAGTTCAGTTACCAGCCCGTGTTCCGAATGAATACCGACGCCCCCTCCTGGCAGTATACGGGCCTATCCTGAGGCCGTCAGTATTCAGGACCACGACATAGGGCTAACCCCTTTGATACAGCACGCGATTGATACCGGGGATCACGCCCCGATACATTGCCGACCGTACCGATATTCCCTTAAAGAAAGACAACTGGAGTTGGAAAGGGTATGGGAATTCGAGCGGTTGGGATGGGTCGAACCATCGCTGGGACCGTAGTCTTTTCCTGTGGTCCTCGTGCCAAAACGAAATGGTTCGGTCCGGGTATGTATTGACTACCGGAAATTGAACGCCATTACTACCAAAGATGTGTATCCCTTGCCACGAATCGATGATTTGTTAGATGCTATCAGAACCGCTAGAGTCTTTTCCAAGTTCGATATCCGACACGGTTTTCACTACGTCGCAGTCCGACCGGAGGACCGACCCAAAACCGCTTTTGTCCTATTTGAGGGCACGTGGCAATGGCTCCGGTGTCCCATGGGTATTTGTAACGCCCCTGCAATGTTTCAGCAGGCCATGAATATGGCCTTTGCTAAGTTCGTTAACAAAACCCGACTAACCCAGCCCCTAATCAATTTCTGCGTGATTGTATACATGGATGATATTTTGGTCTTATCAAAAACACACGAGTACTACGTGGAACACATTGAGTGGGTTTTGCATGCACTAAAAGATGCGGGGTTCAAAAGCGAGTTCTTCTTGTCGGAGATCTCATTCTTGGGGTACATCGTCACGGTCGATGGACTAAAACCGGATCCGAGGAAGGTGGCAGCAGTTCAAGATGCCCCGTCGCCGGTCACGCTCACCTTGGTTTGGGCTTTTCTAGGGCTGGCATCCTATTACTGACGCTTCATCAAGGGGTTCACCGGCATAGCGAAGCCCCTCACGAACCTGCTGAAGAAAGAGGAACAACTGATCTGGACGCCGGAATGCGAAGCGGCGTTTCAGGCGTTGAAGGAGGCTCTGACATCTGCTCCTGTGTTGGCGCGCCCCGACCCGACAAGACCGTTCGCACTGTACACAGACTGGCAGCCTCAGGCGATATCGGCGGTGCTGACTCAGCACGGCAAGGACAGAGGGAGCACGTTATTGAGTATGCGTCCAAGACGCTGAGGCAGGCGCAGGCTAATTACGAAGCATGCAAAGGCGAGTGCCTGGCGGTGGTGTGGGGGATTCAGCACTTCCGACCGTATCTGTACGGCCAGAAATTCGTGCTGGTAACGGATCATCAGCCGCTGCTGTCCCTACGCAACAACACGGACTACACGGGGACGCTGGGCAGGTGGGCGGTGTGTCTGCAAGACTATGACTTCGACATCCGCCACCGTGCCACGCGGCAACATGGTAACGCCGATGGATTAACGCGCCTTCTGCCGCCCAACATGTGTCCCACCAACGAGCGACTCATTCCATGGAGGCCAGAAGTCGAGGCGACGAAACCTCACTACGGGGAGCTACACATGCTGGGTAAGGACGACGCCTAAGTCCGGAATGGAGGTTTCATCGAAAATGGCCGACGCTATCTCTCTACCCTCATCCAACTCCCTCACTCCCTCGTCTAGCCCCAACTCGTCCTCTGAAACACATCTAAGTCCCTGTTTCTTTTGTACCTTACCTATGATCCCGGACCAAAAAGGGTCACATCCGGTAGGGCCCAGTTTTCTTTTATGGGTACAGTGTAGTCAGTGTCATACGGTCAAATCTCGCGGACAGTGCGTTAGGTATCGAAGTGAAAAGACGTGGGTCTGTCCCAACTGTAGAATGGACCAAGTCCCTACCGAGAAGCGGTATCTGGACGCCAGAACAACCGACGGATTTGTGCCAAGTGCCCACCGGGCAGAAGCCTGGACGGACCTTCTGTTGCTACGGAGGCTGTCAGGCGACTCGCTGTCAGAACTTACTAAAGCTGAGAGGCGGAGAGTCACAGAGCGGGCGCAGGACTATCGTTGGCAGGGACCGACGTTACAAAAACGAAAAGTCGATGATGACGGAGGGTCTAGCTGGTTGACGGTTCCACACCCTCTCGCTAGGTTCGATTGGACACGAGCCGCTCATGAAGAGGATGCGGTCCATTTCACGGTCAAGTACACGGAAAAAGCCATAGAAAAGAACGAATGGTACTGGTCGGGAATCCGAGAAGATGTGAAATACATCGTTCAAAATTGTCCGGCCTGCGCGGCGGACAAGGCGCCGGTACAGATGCCTCGGACGATGGTGCCCACTCGTGTAGAGCGCCCCTTTCAGAGGGTTAGCATCGATACGACGGATATCAACGTTCCGAGAGGTCCCGTCGATCAAGGAGAACTCAATGTTCTTTTAGTGGCCGTCGATCATTTTTCAAAATGGATCGAGGCGTACTCTATGACCAGTCGGAATTCGCAGGAAGTAGCCTGGTACGTAAATCGATTTTTGTGCATGCATCTAGACGTAGAAGAGGTACACATGGACAATGGGTCGGAATTTCAAGGCGAACTAGAACGTCACCTAGTCAGGGCGGACGTTAAGATTATCTACTCGCCGGGGCATTGGCCTCAAGCCAATGGCCTGGTAGAGAATGCCACCCGACTGATTAAGACGGCCCTTAGACGGAATATCACTGCGGGAGACACCCGACCCTGGCCGGTCATTATCAACCACATTTTGGCCGTTTATCAGGCTACCCCACACGGTAGTACCGGGGTGTCCCCCTTTCAACTTAGAACCAATAGTGTCCCTCGGGTGCAATTGTCCCCCTTAGTAGGTACGAAAGTTAGAGCAACACGGGCCCAGAATCGAGACAAGGCCCGCCACTACGTGGACTTAATGGCTAGGGCCTATCCCCCGTTAGCTCGCCGTCGACAGCAGGTCGTAGATCGGACACATCAACGGCAGATCCATGACTACGAGAATCGACACGCGTCGGCGGGACCACTGCCCCGCTACAAAGTTGGGGACTTGGTGCAGGTATGGAAATCTGCGCGCTCCTCCAAGATCCACCCATGCTACACAGGCATTTACGAGGTCACGGAAGTTGGCGCACAGGGACAGCACTCCGTGAAGCTGATTCCCCGTCACAACTCCCAGGCCCGACCGCTGACACGGCACGCTGCCGCACTCCGGCTCTTCCAGCCATCGCTAGGTCCCCTACGGACCCCCACACCCTGTCCTTCTTCATCCTCCTCCTCTTCCCGATCTGCCTCGTCCATTGGTGCTGAGAGTTTCAGGGAGCAGGATGAACCATCGCCAGCCGGAGCATGAGCCCCTCGAGCACTTCCAGACGCCGCTTGCAGATCGCTTGTTGCGGCATTGGTTCAACGAGGAAAGGCAGTTGCGGTACGACATCCAGCAGGTGAACGTGCCAGCGCCCGGGGTTGCTGATTTGGCGGCGTACTTGTTGCTTTGCGATCAGCTGACATATGCGGGGGTGTACGTGGACGTGACACAGTTGCCTGGCCGGGAGACGACCCGAATATTCATTGAGTTCCGCGCGCTCCAGGTGGCACCCAACTTCGTGCACAGCGTTGCCACCTTCATCGGAGACTTGACGATCCTACCGCAGCCGAATCGGGAGCCGACGCGCAGCTTTGTGCGCGAATACGCGGTGGAAGCGGCCAGATCAGTGGCCAGATTGCAAGGACGGGGGGGACACCGATTCACAGCCCACGAAGTGCTGCTGCGTAGGGCAGAGGACGAACCGATTGCGTTGGTGCCGCAGCTCCCCGCGCTTCTCCCTCCCGCTGCTCCTCTCAACTTCCAAGCTATTCCCCCTGTCCCGTACTAAATGCCTCCCTTCTTCTCCTACACCACTCTCCCCTACCAGCTCACGGAGGGCCCATATCCCATGCGCGAGTTCTCGGAATATTTGGTGGAGCTAACTGACGTGGAGCCGCTGCCCTTCGCTGACGAAGACATGTGGGAGTTGCACCGTGCGTTGTACAAGTCGGTGGCGCTGAGGATGTTCCAGTTCTTCGTGGATCACGAAGACCACTGCATCGGGGAGCACTTCGTCGTCTACTACGTCATCACACGGCCCAAGCCAGCGGAGAAGGAAGGGACGGTGGCGTTGTACCCCTTCGCCCAGCTCCAGATGATCGATCCGGGATTGCTGGAGCTCATACACCTTGAGCTCCTCTCCATTGCGCAAGTGATCGCGAGCGAGGAGGAGGAGATCCAACCACGATTGCGGACGGCGACGGCCCCACAGAGGACGTACAACGTGGTCATCATCCCGGATTTCATTGCGCAGCGGGCGGAGAGGTTGGAGGACTTCCCGGGTAAAGGCCGTTGCGGCCTCCCTCGTCGTATCCTCGACCAGCGCCACAAAAGGCCCCTAAGAAGACGCCGAAGAGGAAGAGACGCCACCCGTCGCCAGGAGTGCAAGGTAGCAGGATCGGCGGCGGCGAGGAAGTGATTCAGCCTGCGCGTGCGGCGACGTTCGTTAAGGAGATAGTGGTGCCATCGCCGCCCTTTCCGCGTGTGCCCGATCTCAATCTTGATGGAGTCGGGCCATCATCAKCAGCAGCAGCCGGAGGAGGAAGACGAATGGGATTTCCGGATCCCATATCCAGACCCCCTGTCCTCACTGGACCTCTCCGTTCCCGCCAGCCACCCCGGGGTGCCCCGGTCATTGACATTAGTAGTTCCTCCGAGCCGGACGATCCATTCGATAGAGGTGGACTTCATGGTGGAGCCCGCCACCATTAGGCTCGAGGCCATCGCGGGGGCGCCGCGCCCTGATCCAGCCTGGGAGCCATATCTGACACCCTCGTCTACCTCTCCCCGCTTCTCTCCTTCTCCTTCTCTCCATCATCCTCTTCTCCTATGACCGAAGTTCGTGCGTCGAGACGCGCTGTATATATAAAAAAAAAAAAACTTTTTACCGATCGGGCCAGCTGACGATGAAGGGGCCGCCCGATCGGGTGTATACTATGGGAGGAGGCGATGGAGGATGCAAGATGCATCTACGTAGATTAGGAAGATGATCGGGCCAGCTGACGATGAAGAGGCCGCCCGATCATCTAAGACATGATGGCCTCAGCAGTCGGGAGACTGCTAATTTTTCGGAACCCCCTGCGTATCACACATGTGATAAGCTCAGACCCGTACCGCGCGGCTTCCCGTATCCCTAAGGAAAAATCCATTGGAAGCCCCGAGGCGCGGACGCAGACAAACAAGGGTTTTTCTTTCTTTTTGTTTTTCGTTTTCTTTTCGAAACGGCTTTTTCATTTTGTTTGGTTAATAACTCCTGCGCGGGCGAATAGCGGCCGTGGTATGAAAACCAAGAAACGGGGGCGGTTGGGACTTTTTGAATTTTTGGGCGCGCACGCCTAAGCTCCGATTTCTTCGCGTGTCTCGCATCCCCGTTTCTTGCTTTGCATCCCTGCGCCATCTTCCCTTCTTGCTGCCCGCATTTTCCCCATGCCGGACTCTTCGTCTTCCCCTCCGCCCAGCTCGATCCTTACCCCGCGAAGTGATTGGCCGCATAGTTGGGATGCTCGGATCAATGTGGAGAGCGGGAAACCTCGCGCCACTTGAAGGGACACCCCAATCACGTAGGACCATGCCATCCCGCGGGTCGAACCCTCTAACTCCCCACCTTCCTCCTGTCCTGCTCATCTACAGCCTGCGCTGCCCACACCTTGCGCTGACAACCCGCCGCCTCCCGCGCTATAAATTCGTGCAACCCTCTCCTCTCCTCCTATTTGATCTCGGCTGCAATGCTGCGCGAGCTATGCGCGAGAGTCCGCGGCGCCGAACAGGCTCGACGAGCCCAAGGACGGGCGGAGTGACGACGTGGGGTGGACCGCGATAGTCTCGAGGCGAAGCAGTCGGAGGGACTGAGCAGTGGTGGGGATTGGACGCCGGCTGCAGCAGGGCCTTATGGCTATGGTGGTCGGTGGTCTTGGGGAGTTTTGAAGGCTGCGCCTGGGGGCGGCAACTAATTGAAATTTTTGTGTACAAGAAGGACTCGCTTTT